CCATCCCTAAAATTTAGAATTTTTTCTTAAATCGCCTAAAATCGCACTAAATCGCAGTGCTTGAAAGTCCCAGTTTTTCCTTAAATCGCCTAAAATCGCATTATATCGCAGCGATTTAAGGCGATTTACCGCCCCAGAGTAGGCCTCATCTCTCATTATTCATAAGGCTTACCTGACTGGAAATGATTCGTTTTACTATCTGATTTTATTTCTACCTCGACGATATATATTCATTAGCTTTACGACGGCTTTCATTTCGAAATGCGCACAACCGTACTGTGGGTTCCCATTCCCAATAGCATGTTGTTGATGAGCCAAACACAAATATCAGATATTCCATCGTTCTGGAGCAGTAGCCAATTTCATGCCACCGTAGCAAACTATAGCATTTGCCCCATTCTGATTGGTTTGCTACGTTTGACCGTAGCAAACCAATCAGAATGCCGTATGATATTTTCTAAGCTATAGTCCATTGCGTAATGACCCGCAAACGGGCAATTAAAAGCGTATTTTCGGGCGGGAATTCTTAAAACAATTAACGTTACGTATCAATGTCATCAATTTGTCAAAATAAAATGTTTTAAACATATAAAACTACCCCCCCCCCCCCCCCCCAATTATCAAGCTTGCTACGGCACTGTGATCTATTCTGTAATTTAAGCCCCGTTTACACTACACTCAATTTTTGGTACGGCACAGATAAAATTGGTACCCATACCACTTTTTTTGTTCTTGGACTACCTATTTAGGTAGTCCAAGAACCAAAAAGTGGAACGGTACCAAAAATTGAGCGTAGTGTAAACGGGGCTTAGCTAAATAGGTAGTCCAAGAACCAAAAAAGTAGTACGGGTACCAATTTTATCCGTGCCGTACCAAAAATTGAGCGTAGTGTAAACGGGGTGTTAGTATAAATTTAGGCTATATCTGTCTGTGGTTCAGAACTTCATGATTTGAAAATTCAAAATCCTAAATTGTGTTCTCAGTAATGGCATTTCTTATCACTGTATATATTAAAAGTATACTAAGTCCAACTGTTTTGAAATACTTATCTACTGTTCCTACCTAAAGTACTCCAACAACTAATTCGCGACTTTATATTTGTATTTGCAACATCCGACTGAAACTGACAAGTAGTGTCTGCTAAAAAAACAGTGAAATATTACTTAAATTTAGGACAGAATATATTCTTTACTGCTAAAGAAAGTTGCTGTTTTCTCCTACCTTTCAACGTATCCAGAGAAACACGCAAATTATCTTCGAATTTTTGCAAAGGATTTTCACCAATTTGCAAAGTAGAAATCTCCAAATGTGCGGCCATATTTTTATTAACGTGTGTCACGCGACACGTGCGAGACAAACACGAGAAGCGCAAAATATGCTAATGAGCTACCGTCAGCTGCATCCGTACGATGGCAATGAGCTAGGATGATACACTATCCTAGCTCATTGCTAATGGATTTCAAGCTAATGTTTTGTGTGCAGTCAAGCAAATTCGGTAAGTGTGCATACGATACGACTCATTAAGATAAAATTTATAATAAACTCAAACACAAAATTCAAGGTGATCATATTTCGACATTATCTTGAATTTATCGTCAAACCTAATTGCATGTATTTAGAAGCGTGCTGAGACAAACAGGAAGATAATGTAATCAACCAAGAAGTGTACGTGAGAATCAACGAATTTACAAAATAATTATCTTATTTACAGCCGAGTATTTATTTGTACCCTGAGTGCATACCAGTTGGCACAACAATAGTGCTTACAGCGATTCAGTGACTGGAATGTTTCACATATTGTCATTTTATTGTTCTATTCCACTGTTCTCCATGCCGTCCAGTGACTCGTTATTTTTACATACTTGTGACGTTATGCAAAAGCCATCCTTGTAAAAGTTTGTCACGCTGCACTTGTGGAATGCGCTCATGCAAGTGTCCCGGTTGGCGCATATACGTAGCTTAGCGTGTGTTCTGATGATATTCACAAACACGAATATTCCATTGACAAATTTGAAAAAATCACTGTTAAACGATGATCTTAAGTAACAAACCCCATTAGATTCAGTGTCGCTTAGTAACTTAGTTCGTTTCATTCGCTGGAATATTCACTTTCCAGATTCTTGAAGAACTTTCCTGGTTTTTGTTTTAATTAATTCTCATTTTCTTTCAGATGTAAAGATGACATGTTGATGACTGAAGGAATAAGATTTTCTGTTTCCGTTTCTTGCAAAGGTAGAGGTATGCCATCTATCTCAGTCTCAACACTGATGGCTTGTTCACTAAAATGAAAGCAAATATGCACAGTGTAAACCAGAGAGCGTTTTTGTAACAATTCGTGTGCAATGCATGACTAGCAATGTCTGACACAGTCCCACAATTAATAAAAATTATAAATTAAAATCACAATAAACCTCGTTATCTATGTTGTTCAGGTTTATGTAAAATGTGGTCTTTCATCGTCACGTGCGGATTGTATTTTTCTCAAGTCAACCAATAGGAATGTTCAAAATGTCCTATTGTACGTTAAAGTCACGGATGGGCAATTGGAAAAAACCGTTTCTATTGGCTGGTTGAGCAAAAATACAATACGCACATGACGATGAAAGACCACATTTTTGCATAAACCTAAAAAAACATAGACAGTGAGGTTTATTGTAACGCTAACGAGTTTCCAAACCATCTCCTCTATTAGACAGATTTAGATCGAGGACGCGAACGTCAAAGACGACGTGAAAATGGCGTCAAAAAGGAGTGGCATATCCATACATGGGCACAACACGCCATTTTCACGTCGTCTTTGATCTAATTAAATATGTCTAATAGACAGATTAACTATGATACGACACGAAATTACAACCGACCCCGACAGACGCGCTGTAGGCCCGTTTACACAAGTTTAGTTGATGCGATTTTCTTCTTTTGATGTATGTAAACGAGAAGATGAGTTACGAATGTTCTAAGTACAGTAATATGCTCATCTTTTGCGCACGAGTATATTTCTCTTTGATCTTTACCTCATTCCCAGTTCCTTTTCTAACCCCATTGTGCGCAAACCACGAAGATATAATCCTAAGTACTCTCATCTAAGCATTCATAGTTCATCCACTCGTTCAAGTCCATCAGAGGAAGATAAATCACTATGGTGAACTTAAGAACAGCATATTAATAAGATTCAATCGCATCGGCTGTTGGAGGTAATGCCTAATGGTGAGAGGGGTACCCTGCGTCGGGAGGATTCACGTAGGAAAAATGCGCAGTAAAATATTTGTAATCTCACCTGTGTGAACGCTTTGTTACGGGACTTGGCTCTTGACTAGATGTCGAAGGTTCAATACAACTTTCAATTTGCGACTCCCGAGATGTCCTTGAACACCGCCACATGTATACAACCAACAAAACTAAACACACCATAAATGCTCCCGAAACTCCGAGACCTACAGCTAATCCTAAGTCTACGGAATTAACTGTGGAACTCGCCTTTCCTGAGAGTTCATAGTTAGCAGAGAGGCCCGTCTTTTTGAATGGTTGAGTCGTGTTGTTCGGTGTTATGAACTTCTCCGCCACAGTGGTTTCAGTGAGATGCTTTTCTTTTGTAGTCGATGGTATTTTGAACAATGATGGAGTCGAAGTGAACTGCGACTTTGATGTATCACTCTTTGGAACTTTAGTCTTTACTTGTCGCGGAGTGCTAGTGATTTTCTTCTCTAAGTTAATTTTAAAAGAAAAAAAATGAAACCATGCATTAATTTTTGAGGCAGTTTGTAATGTCAGTAAGTTTTTTGAAAGAACGAAACATTGAAATAAAGACTTGTTGTAAGGTTTTTTTGTGGCTACGCCGTGGTGCATGTAATTAAAATCATCTTATTGCCACACAGCACTATAGGACACTGGACACTTGACATCGTCACTTAATTAACAATTATAGATATTTTCAGTTCGCACGAATACGATTTGAATCTAAAAATTACTTAAAATTAACATACAGAACAGAAAATTTTAGTGGTATATACATTCTGAAAGGGAAAACTGGCAATACATGTACAGTCATCGTTAAAAAATGTCAATAATTTATGTATCGTCAGACAGGTCAAAAGTTCTTTATTACGAAATACAATTTTGGTGATCAGCCAAGATTTGCCGTCAAGTGTGGTAATAAATAGTTACTTCCGTCGAAATGAATAAAAGCCGACTGTTTCCTACTATGTACTTATATGTGAAATGGGTATTGCTAAACGGTGTAAACGCTAGTTTACACAGTTTCTACAATGTAGGCGATAAATTAGTCTCCGAATAAAGGAATTCTTGAAAGATACTTCATAGTTTATTATTCACAACTTTTGTTAAGTGCATCTAATCAATATTCAGTTCACAACTTTTGTTAAGTACATCTAATCAATTCAGCCAGTATAGGCAGTATAGCCAAAAATTAGTCCAAACGATTGCAAGATATTTATGTATTCACGGCTTTGTTTAATTTAATCTATTTTAATGTATCTAAATATTAGTGAAGTTTCTGATCTCATATTTTCATTGTTTTAACACCATTTTCCAGTCTACTTTTCCTAGTCTACCTCTTGATGTGCCCCTTCCTGGAAACTCTTCCATCACACACAGACCCTAAATTTAATTTGTGGCTCTCAGACCACCGCGGGTCCCGACTCTCGCCGCATAACATGCCAATATGGTTGAATCTCATGGAACTTCACACGAGACTCTGTGGTGTTAATTCATCTTGCATTAACTTGTAAAAGAGAAGTTCCACTTTTACGACCACCTATTTTTGGCCACGCAAACCGCAAATATAGTAAATATTCTTATCGACATCCCGTAAACATGGCCAAATCTGTTATGACCGGGCTCCGATGTATTAAATGGTTATAAATTTAAATAAAAATTTTTACTAAAGAATTACTCTTTATTCAATCGTTATTTGAAGACTTTACAGGTAACACCTACCACAGGCTTCCTTACATCTCTCCTTATCACGGTCATACTGATCGTCACAATTCGCTGGACAGCCAACACAACCCGGTATATCGTCGCTATAATATTGTCCCGACCCACAACTTGATACACACTTGATTTTCTTTTCTAGAATACAAACTAAAAGAACGAATTGATACACAGTCGACGGCTTCATGACGACTGCAGACATACATGACCAGATACGAGTGATATAGGAAAATAAACAGAATCGAAACAACTTTTTGCCAATTCATCATGTAATGACGTCAGTAGTGACGTCAATTGGCTTGCCGGCAGGCATATACATGGTCCAAGAAACTATGTGATGAAATGCCATTTTTCCTGACACCCATGCACTTGTGACAACTCACTAGTCAGTAAGAAAATAAGTCACAAATTTAAAAACATTACAGAATGGTCCATCTGAGAAAAAATTTCACCCAGTTCAGCCATCACTCAAAAGCTGACAATTAAAGTCATGTAACGTCACAGACGCTCGTGGGCGGTAAGCGCACAAGGACGTCTGCGAGGTGATGCTAGCTAAAAGCGCCACTGACTATGTCTACCTAATAAAATAATTTTTTTTAGAACCACTGAGTATTTTAACAAAATACAAAACAAGTGTAACTCCAGAGATCGATAACATTTTTAAATTTATTTACGTTTCGACTATATTTCAGTCATCATCAGGATAAACTAGCTAGGTTATACATCAAAAGCAGTATTTATATGAAGAAATATGATACTCAGTTAGGTTGATTATTATAAGTTATTTCAAACGAAACTGTTTATTATCAGTCCAACAAGATAGCTCTTACTGATCAGTGATGATATATTAGCTTTTTTATAGATTTTATTTGTTGAGAAGCATCGTTAATATATAATGAGATTAACGCTTTTATATATCATTGGCTTTTCTTAGGATAAATATTAATGCCCAGCATAAAACACGTAAAAGAGCCATAACAAAAATATAATTTAAAATATTTATTTGAAAGCTGACGTTTCGTCTTTAACTTAAGACATCTTCAGAGCAATGACACACAAAGCGGAAAACACGGAAATATGAATAAATTACAACTATTTACAAGATATTATATTACAAAAGTAGAAAGAGGAATGGATCAGAGTAGAAGTAGAAGGACCGAGCTGTCCTGTAAGTTGAGAGAGGGTTTAAGTTTGTTAATGAGAAGACTTTCTCGAGTGAGGAGTTCGTCTGGAGAAGAGCAACAAGAAATAATCTTAAAATCATTAAGAGAGGCGGAGTGACCAGTGCTATCAAGATGGGAAAGGATACTAGACATGGTCGGATTGCTGCTTTTACTGCCTGTTAGAGGAATAAATATTTTAATAAATATTTGCTTTCAAATAAATATTTTAAATTATATTTTTGTTATGGCTCTTTTACGTGTTTTATGCTGGGCATTAATATTTATCCTAAGATTACGATTTCCGCCTGGTTCATCTATCGCAAGTATCACTGGCTTTGTCCTTCTGATATCTCTTCTTCCATATCAGAATGACAAAATTAAACCAAACATAACAGTAACAGTAAGTAAATTGTCAAATTTGTCATTTTGCCTCCCAATCACTCGCCCTGAAGATATCGATTTAAAATGCTAATCAGGGGTAATTTAATAACCACTTTGAATACATAGATAAAACATTTTGCCATGACAACCATTATATACTATGGTCTATCCCTTGGCTTTGATTAGTTTACTTCACAAGCTATTTCGGAAATATCATGGTTTTTGGTTCTAAAGCAGTTGTGAATACCGAAAATTTTGTTGGTCATGATCAAATTTGGTAAGGCAGACTCAGTCACCAAAATAGCAATAGTGTGTTTGGTGGTTCTAATATAAGGGAAGTCTAGGAATGCATATTGCGCTTCTGTTTACACTTACACGACCTGAATGAAAGATTCCATATGCTTGAAGGAAGCACAATATAAATTTTTAATGAAACTTTACTTTGTCGTTAATATATATACATATAGAGTTGTCAACTTGATTCGTATTCTTTACGCAACAGACAGTAGACAGCTCTACGAATTTAGCACGCAGACTGCACATGCTCTCGATTTGCAATGCAAATTTTCGCATAGACTCTACAGAGTCATATCACTGTGTTACATATTCTTAAGAAATGAAAAATATCGGCAGAGTAAAACTAGCTGTAGGCCTTCCTCAGAATTTCACCGCTACTACTTTTGAGAGTCATGGAACTTGCAGCAGAACTTGCTTTGTAAAATGACCTTCACATTCTGAATACGAACTGAGTGATCCTTGGAGTCTCGCACGGTGCGTGATCTCTATAATTGCTGTGTTATGTATAGGTGTTTGTATGTTTATCTAGGAAAGATCATGTCACAAACGAAGCGACAGCGGCAAAGCAATGGCCAGTCAATTGGGGATTTTTGATCGGCCAATATAAGAAGGTATTGTAGAGAATTGATTCCATCTTGGCCATTGTACATAATAGCATGGTGATCATGAATTAATTGAGACATAAAACCACACGACTTACTATATCCTGCTCGTCATTTTATTGTTCTATTCCACTGTTCTCCATGCCGTCCAGTGACTCGTTATTTTTACATACTTGTGACGTTATGCAAAAGCCATCCTTATAAAAGTTTTTCACCTTCAAGCACGCGGCACTTGTGGAATGCGCACATGTAAGTGTCCTGGTTGGCGCATACGTAGCTTAGCGTGTGTTAAATGTGATATTCACAAACACGAATATTCCAGTGACAAATTTGAAAAAAAATCACTGTTAAACGATGGTCTTAACAAACTGCGTTAGTTTCAGTGTCGCTTAGTTCGTTTCATTCGCTGGAATATTAACTGTTCAGATTATTAATTTAAAGAACTTAGTCCTGGTTTTTCTTAATTAATTAATTTTCATTTTCTTCCAGATGTAAAGATGACATGTAATTATCCTCTGGTACTGAAATAATAAGGTTTTTCGTTTCTGGACTGCCATCTATCTCCTCAATACTGCTATTTTGTTCACTAAAATGAAGGAAAATATACAGTGTATTAAACCAGAAAGCGTTTTTATGACCATTCGTGTGCAATGACTAGCAATGTCTGACACATGAGTCCCACAAACTCTTCTCGTTTGGATTTTACATTGGATGAGTTACGACTAATGTATGGTAACGTCCTTATGTTTTGCGTAAGAGTATATTTCTTTTTAATCTTCAGCTCAATCCCAGTCCCTTTTCTAACTATATTCAGTGCGCGAAACATGAAGATATAACCCTAAGTACTCTCATCTACGCATTCATAACTCATACTACTCATCCACTCGTTCAAGTCCATCAGAGGAAGATAAATCAATGATAAACTTAAGAAAAGCATATTAATATTAAAGATTCAATCGACTGTTGGAAATAATGGTTGGAGGTAATGGTAAGAGGTAGCCTGGGCCAGGGGATTCCTCTGGAGGAGAAGGTTAGTAAAAATATTTGTGATCTCACCTGTGTGAACGCTTAATTGTTACGGGACTTGGCTCTTGACTTGGTGTTGAGGATAATATAATACCACTTTCAATTTCCGCCACGTTGTCGTGTGACTCTACACCAGATTTCCTTGAACACCGCCACATGTACGCAACCAACAAAACTAAACACACCATAAATGTTGCCGAAACGCCAAGACTTACAGCTAATCCTAAGTGTACGGAATTAACTGTGGAACTCGCCTTTTCTGAAAATTCGGAGTCAGCTGAGAGGCTCGTGTTTTTGAATGGTTGAGTTTTGTTCGGTGTTATAAACTTCTCCGCCACAGTGGTTTTGAAATGCTTTGTAGTCGATGGTATTTTGAACAATGATGGAGTCGAAGTGAACTGCGGCTTTGATGTACTCTTTGGAACTTTAGTCTTTATCTGACGCGGAGTACTAGTGGTTTTCTTCTCTAAGTTAATTTTAAAAGGAGAAAATGAAACCATGTATTAGTTTGCGAGCCATTGCGTGGTAACGGTAAAAGTTTTAAGGAATGACAGAATCCCCTTTCATTTTTGAGGACAGTTTGTAATGTAGCTCTACTCTTAGGGCGCTTTCCATTAACACGGCCAGACTGTCAGAACGGTCAAATTGAGAATGAGGTCCATTTTCGCTAGATTTTTGAAAAACATAGACCAGATCTTTCCATTGATATAGAGACAACAATTCGCCGGTCTGACCGGTCAGGCCATTAAATGGAAAGCGCCCTTATAGCGGCTATAATTTTCAGGCTACGTAGCCACACAGTGAGGTTTTTGAAAGAACGAGACATTGAAATAATGACGCGCGAATACGATTTAACTCTAATTAAAAATCACTTAAAATTAATGTACAGAACAGAAAATTTTAATGCCATATACTGTACATTCTCAAAGAGAAAACTGACAATATAATCATCAAATCGTTAAAAAAATGTCAACAATTTACGTATCATTTTGAATGCGGAAACACGAAACATTCCCACCGCCCTACACGTCATAACATGATTGCGTTTTACGTCAAACAGGTTAAAGATCTTTATGGGCCGTCTAGTGATGTTATAAATTACTTCTCAAAATGAATGAAAGCGGAATGTTTCCTTCTGTGTACTTAAATTAAAAATGGGAATTGCTATAGGCCTACGCTAGTTGACAAAGTTTCTATAGTGGAGGAGATAAATTAGTCCGGCAAAAGAAGGGAAGTCCTGAAAGTGTATCTAATCAATATATATTCAGTAGTAGGCGATAATTAGTCCAAATGAATGCAAGACATTTATGTATTCACTTTTTTTTGTTTAATGTATCTAAACATTACTAGTATCGAGTCTCTACTAGTTTTATTTAGGCGACCAAGTTGTCTTCAAAAGAATGAAACCATCTATTCACTTCATTTGTTACATGTTCCAAATGAATGTAGATTTGGGCCAGGGTCAAACGTCGAACTTTTCATGTGGGATAATGAGCTATAAAGTTCTTTGTTTCACTTCATTAGGTTCGGCACATGAAAAGTTCGACGTTTGACCGTGGCCTTAGTTATGCCGCCCCCGAGATTATTTTTAAAGAAATAGTTTTAGCCCCCCTAGAAAGTGCTCACAAACAACTCAGATAATAGCTCAGACTAAAGCCTTCTCTCAAATCAATCTCATATTTTCATTGTTTTATCATCATTTTCCAATCTATTTAGTCACTACCTCTTGATGTGCCCCTTCCTGGAAACTCTTCCCTCACACAGACCCTAAATTTGTGGCTTTCAGTCTCAGACCAACGCGGATCCCGACTCGGGATCTGAGACTGAAAGCCACTCTCATAGAACATGCCAACATGGTTAAATCTCATGGAACTTCACATGATACTCTGTGGTGTTAATTCATCTCGCATTAAAACCTAGGGAGCCCCACTTTACGGTCCCCTATTTTTGGCCACGCAAATATAGTAAATATTCTTATAATATTAATAACACCCCGTAAGCACGGCCAAATCTATTATGACCGGGCTCCGATGTATTAAATGGTTATAAATTTAAACAAAAATATTTACTAAATAATCACTCTTTATTCAGTCATTATTTGACGATTCAAAGGTGACACCTACCACAGGCTTCCTTACATCTCTCAATATCACGGGCATACTGATCGTCACAATTCGCTGGACAGCCAACACAACCCGGTATATCGTCGCTATAATATTGTCCCGATCCACAACTTGATACACACTCGATTTTCTTTTCTAAAATACAAACTAAAAGAACAAATTGATACACAGTCGGCTTCATGACGACTGCAGACGCACATGACCTATATGTGTTTGAGTAAATGCAAGTATGTAAGCTCTTCCACTTTATGCGCTGTCTTCACTCGTCCGAAGCGGAACTTACTTTTGCGTCAAATCATGGATGACCCGAGTACTTTCGATCAAATGACGTCAATGTGTCCTTTTGAACGTCATTGGCCTGCTAATGAAGGTGGTTGTCATGGTGATGTGGCACAAGGAACTAATAATAAAGGAGAGCGCATAATAGGGGAGAGGCAAAAATTTTAAATACATTATCATAAAAAGCCTACCTGACGCGAGAGGCACCTTGATCAACTAGCTTGAAGGATTCTGTGCAATTGGACGCCCGCAAAATGGGCTATTTATGGGGCAATTAAATCATTGGATTTTGCTGCCAGCGTGGATAGTGACAACAACACCAGAAAGCTGCAGATTGAGATGGATACAACTACCTGAATGATACAAGCAAAACGTCGACGTTTCGAGCGAAGCCCTTAAACGAGAACGACGAAGTGCCGACAGTTACTGACGAAGGGCCTTCGCTCAAAACGTAGAAGTTTTACTTTTATTTTTTAGGTAGTTGAATCCCTTTCGATCCGCAATTTTCTGAAAGAAGTCGGCAGCTTTATTCCTGGGTTAGGGTTAGGGGTTAGTGGTTAGGGGGGTGGGGGTTAGAGGTTAGGGTTAGGGTGGGGGTTAGGGTTAACAACCCAATACTTATTGGGTTGTTAAGCTTAACAATTACAATACTATATTGTTGATAACGCAAGGAGCGCCTGAAATCGTAATACAGTCTTCAATCACAACCGAAGACCGCTGCCAGGTTGAAATGGCAGGACCGCAGCCGCAAGTGGGAATCGCAGGACCGCAGGTTCCATTCCTGCTATTTATCGTCTTCTTTGTAATAAGAGTAAAAAATTATTTATTGAACGTTCTCTGACTAAATATTTATTTCTACGAGCTTTCGGCTATCAGTCTATAGGCTTGGACGGGTGTATACAAATGATTCTATAAAGGACGCTAAGTACACCCATCGAAGGCTATAGACTGATAGCCAAAAGCTCGTAGAATGTTCAATAAATAATGTTTCAACCTGGCTGCGCATCCTCGATTTTTTCAAGAGTAAAAAAGTAACGAACACGACTTGTTGACGTTGCCGCCGTATTTGCCAAACTCTCTGATTTTCTCACCACTTCCCCGCCCTTGCAATGTAATATAGTTGATTTAAATTTTGATTAGTATAAAAGTGGTTCTGTTCAAGACATCTATATATTCATAATGTTGTCAAAATATATATCAGAACCCCAGTCCTCAGATATTCGTGCAATTTATTTGTGCAATCAATGATACTAGAAATGTAGTGTATATATAGTGGTACGCTCCAATATTAAATTCTGCAAACACTTGAACATATAGATTTAAAATGCTAATCAGGAGTAATTTAATAACGACGTTGAACACATAGATAAAACATTTTGCCATGACAACCATTAAGTTTTTGTAAATAACACTAATAATAGTATACTTTGCCTTGGCTAGTTCACAAACTATTTCAGAAATATCATGGTTTTTGGTTCTAAAGCAGTTGTGAATACCGAGAATTTTGTTGGTCATGATCAAATTTGGTAAGGCTGCAGACTTTCACCAAAATAGCAATAGTGTGTTTGGTGGTTCTGATATAAGGGAAGTCTAGGAATGTATATTGCGCTTCTGTTTACACTTACACGACTTGAATGAAATATTCCATATGCTTGAGGGAAGCACAATATAAATTTTTAATAAAACTTTACTTTGTCGTTAATATATAGAGAGTTGTCAACTTGAATTCATCACTCGTATTCTTTACGCAACAGACAGCTCTACGAATTTAGCACGCAGACTGCACATGCTCTCGACTCACAATGCAACAGAGTCATATCATTGTGTTACATACTCTTAAGAAATGAAAAATATCGACAGAGTAAACTGTAGGCCTTCCTCAGAATTTCACTGCTACTACTTTTGAGAGTCATGGAACTTGCAGCAGAACTTGCTTTGTAAAATGACCTTCAAATTCTGAATACGAACGGAGTGATCCTCGGAGTCTCGCACGGTGCGTGATCTCTATAATTGGCTGTGTTATGTATAGGTGTTTGTATGTTTATCTAGGAAAGATCATGTCACAAACGAAGCGACAGCGGCAAAGCAATGGCCAGTCAATTGGGGATTTTTGATCGGCCAATATAAGAAGGTATTGTAGAGAATTGATTCCATCTTGGCCATTGTACATAATACCATGGTGATCATGGCTTCATTGAGACATAAAATCGCATGCCTATACTATATCCTCCTCGCAGCCCGCAAATTCAGACTACGCGGTCAATGCAAAATCTATGTCAGCGCGCAAGAACCATGGGTTGCGTAACCAAGAGGGGCAATGGGGGCATGTGCCCCCTCCCACTTTCTTTAAAAGTGAGAAAAGTGCCCTTTTTTCTGGGCTGAAGTGCCCCATTTAAAGAACGAAAAAAGTATTTCTTGTATGAACGCCCTCCTTTGCTGGAAAGAAAGTGCCCTTTTTGCAGTAGCAGAGACTCCATATTTTCAAAAAATTTCGTTCAGCTCGTGAACGGCATAAAATCGTTTGATTCTGCGAGTATCCTCTAGTCTCAAATGTTACTCAGTTCAACGTTTTCCCAAGTAACTGATGAAAATGATTTCTGTCAATAGCTGTGTAACGAAGACGACGATGTGCCACAAGGAGCAGCATCGGTAAGAGTGAAAGAAAGACGTGAGAAACTAAAACTTCCTCCAATCAACAACGTGAAGCAACTTGGAGTGGGAACCTCTACAAGACCTTTCCCAAGAACCAGTAGTGGTGAAATAGGTTGGCGTTCTACACAACCTCAATGTCGGCTGGAGAGATATGGTCGTTATACCAAGCCTGTGCCTGGTGTGTTGAAATCTCTCAACTGGCCTCCTGAATCTGTAGACTGAAACAGAATATGTTCAATTTATTACATATAGATTATAGGAAATAAAAAACACAAACTGAAAGACTGAGAGATTAGGATACCACAAGCGTGCAAGCAAATACAGAGAATCATTTATATTTTACATAAAAGAGTTGAATGATCATTAAAGTAAGAACTAGTGAACTAGAAATATCCATACGGATATTTTAAAAAGCTAGTACAGTATTTTTTTCGTTTTTTTTTTCAAATACCGCAACAGCCTAGCCTGTGCCATAGACCTTACTGTAAGACCTTATTGCTCTTTTGCAAAAGCGTATGATCAGAATTGTTTATAAAACCTCATATGATGCACACACATATCCCATTTTTAACGAGCTCAGTTGAGATTCTTCCATTTAACAAAATTTATTTGTTTCATTTAGGCTTGTTTATGTATCAGTTCCATAATTGTATGTTACCGTCTAATTTTGATGAGTATTTCACATGTGTTAACCAAGTTCACAATTATAATACGCGACAATCGAATTTGTATTTCCTCCCATTTTGTAGAACTAACCTGAGAAAATTTGCTATTATTTACCAAGGTCCTAAATTTTTTAACTCCCCCAAAAATATATATGATGTTTCATCCGTCTCCGGTTTTCGGAAAAAAACTTTAAAGAATATTTATTTAGACTTTAATTTTGTATTATTTAAACACACAATCAATGTAACATAGTTTCTATCTATGCTTTGTCAAAAACCTGATCCCAATTTTTTGGTCTATTTTTCCTTTTCATCCAAATTTTGTTTGTTCGTTTGTTTGTTTGATTTACACATTGTATCTTGCTCGATATGTTTTTACAGCTAACACTAAAATTTTGCTATATATGTATTACTGTAGTTTGATCTAGGTGGCCCAAATTTCATAAGCCCTTATGGTTTCTTTTGGGTTTCCTTGCCTTACAAAATGTAATTTTTTTTTCTCTTTGATATTGTAAACATTTTTTTTTTTATTGGCTAAATAAATTGACTTGACTTGGTCTGTGAGACAGAGTAGTTTAGTAGATAAAACTGGAAAATCTAAAGCAATAAATATGTAATTTCAGCATCAGCAAACATACAGAATCAGCCTTTTTACCGTAAAACATAGAACATGTAATGTTCTAACTGAATTCGTAACTATAATACACGCTTCCGAAAAGTACGTCACTTTGGCTATAGAGCCTCGTTTTCGTGTATGTGACATCAGTTAAAAGCCGCGTCTCAATCACGAAAACGAGGCTTTATAGCCAAAGTGACGTACTTTCCGGAAGCGTGTATTGTATGAATGTGATAAGTCACATGCCTAGTTACTCCTTTGCTCCAGTCAGTTACAGAAGCATATAATAGAAGAAAGGTAACTTTGTGTCTATACTGTGTATACGAGTTACTAGTTTACTCATTTGGACAATTGTATAGCAGTTATAGAGACTTTGTTCATAACTTTGCTTCCGTAAGCTGCATGTAACAATAGTACCTATGTATATGTGGGTTATCTAGTGGGCAGACCATTCGATTTTTTGGAGGAGGGAGGCGGAGAGGGTAGATTTTTATGGAGCCCGATAATTCTTTTTAACCTCCTTTATATTTTTTTGTGCGATATATTTTTTTCATTCTGGCCCCCTCCCCAGCGTCAAAAAATCAAATGGTCGTTCCCTAAAGATGCCAAGTTTTCTGTTATAATTTCCAGTTTGTCCCTACAGTCCCTCAAAATTAGTGATATTCTCTTTAATCTCCCTATGGCGTAGTTATTGTCAACCCCTTTGCCATTTCTCTATCTACTTTCTTCCCATTTTGAAATGTGATTCACAGTGTTTACATCATCAATTATCTCTAAAATCGTAAGAATGCTGCATCTCATTTACATTTCACTGAATATAATTTCATCAAATTGATTATTTTTCTTGGTTTCAAAATTCACAGTAATACCACTTGTTTCTACTGTCTTTCTCACACGCGATTCCCAGAAAGAGTAATGACGGCCTGTTATGGAGGCTTTCAGATGAACAGGGACATTAGCTTCAACCTTTATTGGCACGGGTAACATGACATCAAACCCAGATATGCCACGATTATCCTGTTCTGAATGAAATTTCTTTTCAATTATCCAAGACCAAACCTCTAACTTCACGTTATGTTCATCCCCTTCGATGCCTAGCAAGCGAACACCGTGAAATTTCACTGGCTTACTAAATGATATACCTAGTGCGTTCTCCCAAGTGCTCACTGTGTTGCACAACATAACTCCATAGCTATCAAATCTGCAACATCTTAGTAAGATATCTTCTTTTGCTCTTGTTTCTGACATATTCCATACTTCGGACGTTCTTTCTACTCCGCTAAATTTCTCATAGAATAAAACCATTTCTTCTAGTGTAAGTATGCCGGACTGGGAAACATTCTGACCAAAATCTTGAAGGGTCATAGAAGCAAAACGAATCTGATAGATAGCATTTCCCATGGTGGTTCGTTTGTTCTTTGCATTTGCTTCTATTGCCTTCCTTGAGCATTCTGCTTCGCTCCATTTTAAAACTGCTTTGAAAAGATCAACCTCTTTGACGTTCAACGAATCTCGCTTCAATATATGCGCTAATGTCGCTTCATTAACACCAGTAAATGCATCAGAAGCGACAGCTTCGCTTGTTTTCAAATCTATCAGTTCCAAGCATTTCTCCTCAAGCTTTTTTTCGTCAAATTGAAGTGCTTGTTGCAAGACGGTGGAAACATTTTCTACTGCGAGGTTGGCTTCAAGAAATTCAACACATTTCTGAGCGAGAAAGGGCACGATATACTTCTTGGCCAAGTACAATACAAACACGGCAGTATCTGTTGTCAAGTTACACTCGTCTGTGTAAAGAAATTGTAGAAATTCCTGCAGACTTTCCTCGTCAGTATCGCTCAGATGAACAACTGAATTCTTCTCCGCCAGCTCGCCGTAAAACATCGCATAAAATACAGCACTACTTGTGGCGAGGACATATTTATGTGCGGAGAATTTCTTGTCTGAGCCTTCACAACTGAACGCGACATCGCTCATGAACGAATTATTAAACATATGACGACTTCGTTCTAACACCGTCTTCTTCGTCGATTGCCAATCCACCTCTTGTTCAGATCTTGCCATTTTGCTTCACGTTGCGGCTTAGAAAACAAACTTAGTTGGTTTATTTTAGTTGGTTTTTACACTGCAGTGTTTGCACAAGAAAGCGGAAGTATTTGCATAAAATCGAAACTTGAAATTCAATCCTTAATTAAGTTTTCTTGGAAGATGGCAATGACGCATTTTCTGAATGAGTATAAAAACACACGTATAGAAACGGGTGATTCGTTAGTACAAACTTAGAAAAGGAAAGATATTTAAAGCACGCCTAGGAGTGTTTTATTATATTTAGAATCCGAGGGCATTTTAAACATGATAAAACATGACTACAACTGCTTTTAAAGGCTTAAAACAAGACTAGAACAGATGCCGTCTCATTTGTAATTGTAAGGTCTGTGAAACTGGCTAGTACCATTACAGACCATTTGATTTTTTTTTTTTTTTTGGGGGGGGGGTGTTATATTTCGTGAGCACATATAAAAAATGTATTGCTCGATATATTTTTCAAAAATCAAATGGACGCACTTAAAGATGCAAAGTTTTTTGTTATAATTGTTTCAGTTTGTCCCTACAGTCCTCAAAATTAGTGATATTCTCTTTAATCTCCCTATGGCATAGTTATTGTCAACCCCTTCGCCATTTCTCCATCTACTTTCTCCCCATTTTGAAATGTGATTAACAATGTTTACACCATCAATTATCTCAAAAATCGTAAGAATGCTGCATCTCATTTACATTTCACTGAAGATAATTTCATTAAAATGAACGCTATCCTTCTTGGTTTCAAAACTTACAGTAATACCATTTGTTTCTACGGTCTTTCTCACACGCGGTGCGTTCACATAAGTCCAACAACGACCTGTTATGATGGCCGTCAGATGAACAGGGACATTCGCTCGAACCTTGATTGGTACGGGTAACATGACATCAAACCCTGATACACGACGATTATCCTGTTTTGAATGAAATTTCTTTTCAATTATCCAAGACCAAACCTCTAACTTCACGTTATATTCCTGCCGTTTCCAGCCAAGCAAGTGAACACCGTGGATTTTCACTGGCTTACTAAATGATATACCTAGTGCGTCCTCCAAAGTGCTCACTGTGCTCGACACAAAACTTTCTCCATAGCTATCAAATCTGCAACATCTTAGTAAGATATCTTCTTTTGCTCTTGTTTCTGACATATTCCATACTTCGGACGTTCTTTCTACTCCGCTAAATTTCTCATAAAATAAAACCATTTCTTCTGGTGTAAGTATGCCAGACTGGGAAACATTCTGAGCAAAATCTTGAAGGGTCATAGAAGCAAAACGAATCTGATAGATTGCATTTCCCATGGCGGCTCTTTTGTTCTTGGCATTCGCTTCTATTCCCTTCCTTGAGCATTCTGCTTCGCTCCATTTTAAAACTGCTTTGAAAAGATCAACCTCTCTGACGGTCAACGATTCTCGCTTCAATATATGCGCTAACGTTGCTTCCTTAATATCAATAAATGCATCACAAGCGACAGTTTTGCTTGTTTTCAAATCTATCAGTTCCAAGCATTTATTTTCAAGCTTTTTCTCGTTAAATTGAAGTGCTTGTTGCAAGATGGTGGAAACATTTTCTACTGCGATGTTGGCTTCAAGGAATTCAACACATTTCTGAGCGAGCGAGGGCACGATATACTTCTTGGCCAAGTACAACACGAACATGGCATTATGTGTTGTCAAGTTACACTCGTCCGTGTAAAGAAATCGTAGAAATTCCTCCAGACTTTCCTCGTCCGTATCGCTCAGATGAACAACAGAATTCTTCTCCGCCAGCTTGCCGTAAAACATCGCATAAAATACAGCACTACTTGTGGCGAGGACATATTTATGTGCGAAGAATTTCTTCTCTGAGCCTTCACAAATATTGAACGCGATATCGCTCATGAACGGATTATTAAACATATGACGACTTCGTTCTAACACCGTCTTCTTCGTCGATTGCCAGTCCACCTCTTGTTGAGATGTTGCCATTTTGCTTCAGGTCGCTTAGAAAACAAACTTAGTTGGTTAATTTAGTATGAAGGGAGCAGAGCCGTTTGCACAAGAAAGCGGAAGTATTTGCATAAAATCGAAACTTGAAATTCAATCCTTAATTAAGTTTTCTTGGAAGATGGCAATGACGCATTTTCTGAATGAGTATAAAAATACATGTAAAGACGGGCGATTCGTTAGTATGAACTTAGAAAAGCAAGGAAAGATATTTAAAGCACGCCTATAGGAGTGTTTTATCATATATTTAGAATGCGAGGGCATTTTAAAATTTAAATGATAAAACACGACTACAAGTGCTATGAATGGCTTAAAACACGACTAAAACAGATGTCGTCTCATTACGGTAGATGAAACCGGACAATCTGAAGCAATAAAGATCGATGTAATTTTAAAATACTACAGCAAACATTCAGAATCAACCTCGGAATCACTTACGGTTTTTTACAAAAACATGGACTTCATTTTAATCTAACCCTAATTTGACACTAATCTAAACTTGATGACCTTTTTTTTACTCAGAGCAGTCTGACTGCAGTAATATTGTCTCAGAGTTACTGCTGAGAAAGCCAATCAGAATGCTCAAAGACCATTTTTCAATACTGAAATTATACTTAATATTCATATTTTAAAATTACGGTTACTAAAAATGGATGCGAGTTTTCTTATTTTGACATAATAACTATTGAAGAAAATGGTCACCCCTAGGCTAAAGATGCAAAGTTCCTGTTTTATTTTTCAGTTTGCCCCTACAGTCCCTCAAAATGAATGATATTCTCTTTAATCTCCCTATGGCGTAGTTTTGTCAACCCCTTTGCCATTTCTCCACCTACTTTCTTCCCATTTTGCATTGAAATGTGATTAACAGTGTTTACACCATCGATTATCTCAAAAATCGTGAAGATGCTGCATCTCATTTTAATATTTCACTGAAGATAATTTCATCAAAATGACTATTTTTCTTGGTTTCAAAATTTACAGTAATACCATTTGTTTCTACTGTCTTTCTCACACGCGGCGCGTCCAGATAAGTCCAACAACGATCTGTTATGGTGACTTTCAGATGAACAGGAACATCAGCTTGAACCTTGATTGGTACGGGTAACATGACATTAAACCCAGATATGCCACGATTATCCTGTTCTGAATTAAATTCCTTTTCAATTATCCAAGACCAAACCTCTAACTTCACGTTATATTCATCCCCTTCGGTGCCTAACAAGAGAACACCGTGGATTTTCACTGGCTTACTAAACAATATACCTGGTGCGTCCTTACAAGTGCTCACTGTGGCCGATATAATACGAATTCCATAGCTATCAAATCTGCAACATCTTAGTAAGATATCTTCTTTTGCTCTTGTTTCTGACATATTCCATACTTCGGACGTTCTTTCTACTCCGCTAAATTTCTCATAGAATAAAACCATTTCTTCTGGTGTAAGTATACCTGACTGGGAAGCATTCTGAGCAAAATCTTGAAGGGTCATTGAAGCAAAACGAATTTGATAGATTGCATTTCACATGGCGGTTCGTTTGTTCTTTGCATTTGCTTCTATTCCCTTCCTTGAACATTCTGCTTCGCTCCATTTTAAAACTGCTTTGAAAAGATCAACCTCTTTGACGGTCAACGAATCTCGCTTCAATATATGCGCTAAAGTCGCTTCATTAATATCAGTAAATGCATCACAAGCGATAGCTTCGCTTGTTTTCAAATCTATCAGTTCCAAGCATTTCTTTTCAAGCTTTTTCTCGTTAAATTGAAGTGCTTGTTGCAAGACGGTGGAAACATTTTCTACTGCGATGTTGGCTTCAAGGAATTCAACACATTTCTGAGCGAGCGAGGGCACGACATACTTTTTGGTCAAGTACAACACGAACATGGCATTATGTGTTGTCAAGTTACACTCGTCCGTGTAAAGAAATCGTAGAAATTCCTGCAGACTTTCGTCGTCCGTATCGCTCAGATGAACAACTGAATTCTTCTCCGCCAACTTGCCGTAAAACATCGCATAAAAAACAGCACTACTTATGCCGAGGACATATTTATGTGCGAAGAATTTCTTGTCTGAGCCTTCACAACTGAACGCGACATCGCTCATGAACGAATTATTGAACATATGACGACTTCGTTCTAACACTGTCTTCTTCGTCGATTGCCAGTCCACCTCTTGTTGAGATCTTGCCATTTTGCTTCAGGTCACTTAGAAAACAAACTTAGTTGGTTTATACTGGTCTGTAGTGTTTACAACAAGGATCTGTAGTGTTTACAACAAGGAGGCGGAAGTATTTGCATAAAATCGAAACTTGAAATTCAATCCTCAGTTTTCTTGGAAGATGGCAATGACACATTTTCTGAATGAGTATAAAAATACATGTAGAGAGACCTGTAATTCGTTAGGCTTAGAAAATAAAATACATTATTTAGAAAGTTTATAGATTTATTTAGTATGAAGTGAGCAGAGTTTTATACTGCACTGTTTCATGCACAAGAAAGCGGAAGTATTTGCATAAAATCGAAACTTGAAATTGGTTTACATATTTCAAGCCTGCAAATTTATTGATTCCCATTTCTCGTTCAATGTAAATTTGCTTCATTTTTAATAACACTTCTGTTTTATACTCACCATGCATATATCAGTTTACCGATGCATGGCGAGTACAAAACCTTTATATTTTTTTGCTAACATATAAGAAGTTTTTATGTTTCAATAAATTAAATATAATATTTTTATTATTTTCTACTTTGTCCTTAATCGTAATGAAACCTTAAATATACATTTATACAATATACCTAACTACAGCCAACCCAGGTTTATATACACAATGCCCATTGCCAACCAATCCCATTTCTGGATAATTCATATATGCCTGGTTACCAACTGTTAGGATAATGTCAATATAGAATGGCTGGAGAAAGGTAAGCAAGCATTTCAATTTTATATGTGAGTAAAAGACTCTTTGCAGGAGAACGACGAGTGATTGGATGGCGTGGAGAACAACGGGATTTCTAAAACAACATTCTAAAAACACTATTAACCAGGCTACACTATTAACCAGGCAGATTAAATTAACCACATGTGATCAAAGTAACCAGGACTGTGGTAACTGGATGGATGTTACTATTAAACGGTATAAACATGTGTTGGCTGCTGAGGTCCGTTTGACTGCAGTTTTAACTCCGACGTGCAAATAAATTACACAAAATAAATATGATTTAATATAGCTATATGTTTTCTTCTAAATATTTAAAGACTATTTGCTCTTAGCTTGACAGTGAGAGATTCTCCAGATTTAATGTTTTCAAACATGACCGTAGCTTCGTAATGTTTGCCCGCTTCTTGAGGCGAGAAATAAACAGGAATTCTCAAGTAATAGGATGGTCTGAAAAATAGAAAAGTACGTTCGGTATTTGTATACAAACACCACTACACTCGTAATCCTGTATATAAATCAAATATATATCAATTACAAAAGGAAATATGTCGAGGGCGCTAGGTATATAACTCTTTCATAATTTCTAGACAGTTGTGAATTGAAAGAGAACTACTTGAAAAATACAGGAAAAACTTCGATGACAAGGCCCTTCAACCCCTAAGGCCCCAGCGGAAGTGTCGCCATCACTGGTTGTCACTGGTCGCCATATTGATTTTCTTCAACTCGCCCCAGGGATTGCGCGCTTAAACTAGTGCATGC